AAAGTATTGTTCTTGTTGGTGTTGTTTTTAAGGCTTTGGACTGTATTTTGACTCGTAAACAAATCAATAAAATATCTAAGCCCTACTTGAAAATGGTTTTTGATATTAAGAGATGGTCCCATTTGGTTACATTTTTTTCTTGTTTTTTTTCTGTTTTTAATTTTTAGAAATATAAGTTTTTTATAATTGTTTGTGTTTCTTGTTAAGAAAGGTATTTGAAATTGCTTAGAAAATTTCATAAGTTAAATCATCATTTCATTATATATTAAAAAAATAAATATAACATAAAAATGTGAATATCTCATTTAAAAATTAAATTTTTTATAAAAATAATTTTTTTAACTTAAAATTTAATAAATAAAAAACAAAAAAAGTGATTAACGGTAAAAAAGAATAAAAAATAATTACTAAAGGCAGTTATGTCTTCATTTGTCTAGACAAAATGAAATGATAAACAAAAAATCAGAAATAGGAAAAAGATACCTATACTTTTGCTAAAGTAACAATTTAGTTTTTATACTTTCAAACTGGTAGCAATTTAATCCTTAAAATTTAGTAGGTAACAATTTAATCCAGGTAGCTTTACTTGTAATGATTTCGTTATCCCTATCGTGAAAAATTTTATTAAATTTCTTATACATATAGATTGATAAATTAATGAGCGTCTAAATGTATTTATAAATTACAAATACTAAATCGTTATAGGATAAAAATCGATACTTTATTTTTATAATTTTTAAACTATAGTGACTAAATCATAATTTTATCGAGAGTATAGAGTTGACCTATAAATAATCATTTGGTCTGGATTGGTGGTTGGATGGCTGCCACGTGGAGAGATCTAGCCGTTGAGTGTAGGTTGTAATTTTGGAGTTCAAATGTGTTGAATTGATTTCATATATATTTTTACATACTATTTTATTGATAGTAATAGGATTTATTAACCAATAAGGAAAAGTATGAATAAGATAATAAGATATTGCCTAATATTGTCCAATTTTTAATAAATAAGATAAGGGGTGGAGGATATTGATAAGCACAACAGCTCAGCTATATTCAATCATTTTAATTTTTAACTACTAAACTAAACCACTAATGGAAAATTCAGCCATTCAATGTTAGCCCACATCGTTTTATAAATAAATTCTTTCTTAATCTAAGTAATTAATCTTAATTGTTTTTGTTTTTATATGTATTTTAAAACATCTCATAACTTGTCAAACCGAACATAGTCAACGATAATTGATATATATCTTCAATTAAGAAATTGTAAGTTCGATCCTCCACTTCACATATTGTACTAAAAAAAATATATTGTCACAAATTTCTTTCCTTTCACGTTACATTTACAGTTTGGCATGAATAATGTTATAAAATTCAAATTTTGAGCTCCATAGGGATGAATAACATTAACTTCCTCCATGTGCGATCTTAGTATTTTTAGTCTTTGTTTTATTTTTTGTTATCGTTGTTTAAAAAATGTCCATTTTGATATAACGTTTGAGATGATTAGATATTTTAAATTTTAATATCATTGTTTTTATTATCTTCTAATTAAGAATAAATCACAAAATTTAATTAGATCTTGTTTTTTTCCTATTAATATCAGAGACACGATTGTTTGACTTTGACCTTTCTATATAACAGGTCCTACTTCAGATATTATGGCATGTTGTTTCATGCCGCACTACAAAGACTCTTTTGTTGTAGATTTTTACGACATGTCCCCCTTTACAAGAATTAATGTTGGATTTTCAGTCGAGACAAAATTCTACATTTTAATTTTTTTTATATTATATTTTTTTAAATCTTCCATTTTTAGGAATAATTTTGTTAAAAAAAAAAGATTAAAATCTTAATTTTTTTTTTAATAGAGATGGGTAGCTTCTTTCTTTTGTTTGACAAAAAAGGTCTCAATTTTTAGTCTATTAGTGTCCCCTCCAGTCAAGAATTGGGATAGGTTTCGCTAGTGAATAATTTAAAACATATTATCTTAATCGTATTTTAGTCAAATTTAATTATAAACTTGTGCTGGATTGGTGTGGTTTTTTAAATTTTTATTCTTTTCATATTGTATTTGGTTTTTAAAACTCGAAGAGAGAGAACGATAGTTGTTTGTTTCCGTTTTTCAAGTATATTTGACATATTGAAAATCAATAATAAATAAAGCTCTATTTGAATTTTAATGTGATTAATCAAATTGATTTTAGCTCTTTGCTCTCAATTAATGGTTGAATAACTACCATGTAGATGGATATTGGTTGTTGAAAATAAGTCGTAGCTCATTTTGATATTTGAATGTGGTCCCTTCAATCTACTGCAATTTAATTTATTAATAAGAGTTTCTTAATCCATAAGCACGAGATTCAATACGATATTACATACATTAGGCTATTTGTGAAGTGCTAATGACAATTAAAAAATTTAAGAAAATGAAATCAAAATTCTAAGATATGCAGATAAGAAAGATATTGTATTTTAAAAAGAAAATACAGAAAGTCAAAAAAAAAAGGAAGGTAAAATTGAAATAGACCGGTAAAGAATAGCTTGCAATAC